AGCTTACTACGGCTTCACATTCACAGTCGAGCGACAGAGGAGTTAAGGGGATTCAGGGGGGCCTTTTTGGGGATGGTCGAAATTGGGGGAATGGAGCTTCTGAATTCTCAGTTTATCACTTCTATTGAATGTTGAGAGCAAGAGAGGATAGACTAAACAGTGAATAAGAGACAATGACACATATTGGGGATTAAGGGGGGCTTTTTGGGGATGGTCTTCGATTTTCTTTCAACATCTTAGGCGATATAATAAGGCCGCTCAGTTTTTTAAAATTTGCTTCGGCTTCCAGGTGAACTCCAGCTACCACCAGCCTAACAGCCGGCTTGAAGCAGCCCAAGATGGCTGAACTAGCTAAACGGCTGAACCATGCAAGATGAGCTGAAATCTTCTTTGGTCATTGGCTGGAGTGGTCCAGTTTTAAAATCATTGGCTTTAACAAACAAACAAACAACAACAAGCCTTATCCCACTAGGTGGGGTCGGCTACATGAATCACACGACGCCATCGTGCTCTGTCAACAACCCAATCCTTAGATATGTTGTTGATTAGGAGGTCTCGTTCAATGACCTCATTCAGCGTTCTTCTCGGTCTTCCCCTGCCTCTTTTTATGGGACTCCATCTTGTTTGATCCACCCTCCTCACCGGGGCCTCCAAAGGCCTTCTCTGCACATGTCCAAACCATCTTAAGCGATTTTCAACCATTTTCTCTTGGATAGGTGCCACACCGACTCTTGTCCTGATCTTTTCATTTCGAATCCTATCTTTTCTTGTATGACCACACATCCATCTCAACATCCTCATTTCTGCTACTCCGACTTTGTGCTCTTGTTTTCCCTTTATTGCCCAACATTCACTACCATACATCATAGCTGGTCTTATAGCAGTCCGATAAAATTTTCCTTTAAGTTTCTCAGGTACCTTCTTATCGCAAATAACTCCGGTAGTTTCCTCCACTTTAACCAGCCAGCTTGTATTCTATGAGAAATGTCTCCATCAATTTCCCCATCCTCCTGTATAATGGATCCTAGGTATTTAAACTTTGATACTTGAGGAATAATTTGCTCTCCCATCCTCACCTCCAAATCCCTATTACCTTGCCTCCCTCCAAAATCACAATGCATATATTCTGTTTTGTTCCTGCTCAAACGGAAACCTTTCGACTCCAAAGTCCTTCTCCATAACTCCAAACTAGTGTTAATCTCTTCTTTTGATTCCGCCATAAGAACTATATCATCCGCGAAGAGCATGGACTTAGGGATTCTTTCTTGAACAGGTTTAGTTAGAACATCCAGAACAATGTTGAACAAGTACGGACTCAGAGAGGATCCTTGATGTAGGCCAATCTTAATAGGAAAGTCCTTTGTCTCGCCCCCAGGCGTCCTTACACTGGTAGTTACCGCCTCATACATATCTTGTATGACTTTGATATACGCAACCCGTACACCTTTCTTTTCCAAAGCCTTCCACAATACTTCTCTTGGCACACGATCATAAGCCTTTTCCAGGTCAATAAAAACCATATGTAAATCTCTTCTTTTACTTCTATATCTCTCCATTAACCCCCTTAGTAAATAGATTGCTTCCGATGTGGATCTCCCTGGCATAAATCCAAATTGGTTTTCCGAAATAGAAGTCTCCAACCTCAATCTATATTCCATCACTTTTTCCCACAACTTCATTGTATGACTCATAAGTTTTATCCCCCTGTAGCTTGCACAGTTTTGAATGTCTCCTTTATTCTTGTAAATAGGAACTAAAATGCTTTTCCTCCACTCATCCGGCATATTTTTAGAGCGTAGAATTTCATTAAAAAGCTTGGTTAGCCACACCTCCCCCTCATTGCCCAAACATTTCCAAACTTCAATAGGGATACCATCAGGCCCAACGGCTTTTCCATTGTCCATTTTCTTGAGAGCCGCCTTAACCTCTCCGATACGTATCCTGCGGTAGAAAGCCAAATTCCGATCATCTTCGTTAATTAGCAAGTGCTGCAAGTCCTGAGTCTCATAATTGCTTCCCTCATTAAACAACTTGTAAAAGTAAGCCTCCCATCTGTCCTTAATATCACCATCAGTAACTAACACTTTACCATCTTCATCCTTTATACACTTTACTTGGTCCAGATCTCTCTTTTTCCTCTCCCTTTGCTTCGCGATCTTGTAAATATTTCTTTCTCCCGTCTTTGTTCCTAACTCCTGATAAAACCCTTCATAAGCTTTAGTACGTGCTTCGCTCACTGCTCTCTTTGTCTCTTTTTTAGCCAACTGATACTTTTCCTGGTTCTCTACACTATTGCATAAGTGTATGGCCTTAAAACAATCTTTTTTCTGTTTGACTTTCTCTTGCACACTCTTATTTCACCACCATGTCTCCTTATCTCTTTGACCAGGACCTTTGGATTCTCCCAAAATTGCTTTAGCTACCAAACGAACCCTTGTAACTATCTCTTCCCACATCATGTTTGCATTTCCCTGCAACTCCCAATTCCCTTCCTTCAAAAGAGTCCTTTTGAATAACTCCCGCTTCTCTCCTTTTAACTGCCACCACTTAATCCTGGGTTTTGCCACTTGATGGTACTTTTGCCTGGTACTCTTAAAACATACATCAAGGATAAGTACTCTATGTTGGGCACTCACCCCGTCTCCTGGAATCACTTTGCAATAGTACACAATCTTCTGTCCGGATTCTTAACCAAAAAGAAATCAATCTGTGATTTTGAGACACCACTTTTGTACGTGATTAAATGCTCCTCTCGCTTCTTAAAACAAGTGTTGACAATCTTAAGATCGTATGCAAGAGAAAAATCGAGAATAGATTGTCCTCCACTGTTAAGCTCCCCAAAACCAAAACCACCATGGGCCCCGCTGAATTGTCCTACTTCTTTACCAACATGTCCATTAAGGTCCCCACCGATAAAAAAATTTTCCTCGAGTGGTATGCTTTGAACCAAGCCCTCCATATCTTCCCAAAACTTATCTTTAAGGTGTGTCTCTGCCCCAACCTGAGGTGCATAGGCACTAATGATATTGATAGTATCCTTTCCAACAATTACTCTTAACGATATTATTCTGTCCTCAAACCTTTTAACCTCTACCACATTTTTTTTCCATGTCCCATCAGCGATGATACCAACCCCATTCCTTGTGCTCACCTTTCCTGTGTACCAAAGTTTATACTCTCCAAGTTCCTTGGCAGCTTCTCCAGTCCATTTGGTTTCTTGGAGGCATAAGATATTAATCCTTCTGTCCCTCATAACTCCTGCTACTTCCATAGATTTCTCATTTAACGTCTCAATATTCCAAGTGCCAAATCTAATCTCAGTCTCATGAACTAACTTCTTTAGCCGCCTCCGTCCAAGAGAGTGCGGTAGCCCTTGCTCATTTAACACTACATTCGGGCGACGATGCAGCGGCTCTAGCTCATTTCTCACTGTACTCGAGCCATACAGCGCGTCACATCTGGGCAACGACCTAGCATTAGCATAATTACTTCGTTGATCCATGTTCATGAGATTCGACGGGTTTTTAACATTACATGGAAATTGATATAACTGCAATTCTAGACTCAAAGTTATATACCAAATGTATGTGAAATCACATTCTTAAATGAAGAATTAGATTAAGAAAATTTTTGTGAACAATCATTATTGATGTTTATATCAAGTGGCTTGATAAAATTATAATAGTATTGATATTTTGGATATATTGTTAGCTGAGAATAGTTCATATTCAATTTCAGCTAAAAAAATGAATGGCTATAACTCCATAGAATTCTAGTAATATTGGAAAAAAATAAGAATTCATGTGATAGATATTTTTAGGAAAAATTAGAGGTCTGAAGGAAGGCTTACAATCACCAAAATCTCTTACAACAAGTGTAATATGCAATGACAAGTTCAACCTGAGGAAATGACAATATGTCTATTTTACTCAATTGTCGGGGGACGTTTTGGTGATCACTTTTTTTGGTATCTCAATATGATTTTTCCATATTTTTTTTAGGTCAGCCTGAATTGAAAATTAACAAGAAATGCTTACCTTCCTAGAAAAATAATCGATTGCATAGAAACTTCAACGTTCACATAATACTTGGAATCCCAAATTTAAAGTCCAACAAGGATCCATAAAAGATGTAGGAGGGCTGGATTAGAGGTTCCTGTGGTGTTGGGATTTGGGGAAGAAATTTCCCGATAGCATGTGACGTGTGTTCCTAACAATTTTAATTTACATAATCTCAGCACAATTAAAATCTAAAATATATAGATATTAATTAATTATTAATTACATATACGTTGGGCGGGATGAGCCAATAAAAAAAATCAACATTTTGCTTAAATTTATTGAAGAACATGAGACTCGTATTTTTAAAGAGATCCCATTGATCGAGGCTTTAAGAAGCTAGGAACATCCTAGCATAGTTTGAGAATTGAGATAAAGGGTTCGTCCGTCCTACAATGTTCCTATTTATTTGTTTTGGTCTCTTATAGGGTTTGTTCTGTTTTACAGCTTTTTGTCCTAAATATAAAAACTAATTGGATGGTTTGTTTAGATTCTTAGATTTTTAATCCACATTATCTCCCAAATTTATAAATTTTTTTCCAAACTATCCCTGCATGTTAAAGAAGAATTTTCATATGGGAATAGTTTTTATTGCAAATAATTAAAGTAATGAGAACACAAGTAACATAGTTTGATTGTATTTTTTTCTTTTGTGGCCTTGCTAGTTTGATAGTATTTGAACTTAGTGGTTCAATATATTTGAAATTCTTTCTGATAAATGAGGATTAAATGATTGTGTCAAGTGTCAACTTTGGGTATACATGTTTGTAAAACTATTACTCCTCTAATCTTTAATGTGAGACATAATTAATTAATTAAAGTAAATTAAGGATGTTCGCTAAACTAGTTAATATAATGTTTTTTTTTAAAACACCCTAATCTTTTTTTCTTTATTCCCCCTCTCTCTTCTACTTAATTATTGTTAAAAGAATATCAATAAAGTTAATTTAAAAAAAAATCATAAACATGTCAAATAGGTTTCACATATATGACTGACATAAACTTTCAAATTAGGTAAGGAGTACTATAAGCACTATGGTTGTTACAAAATATGACAAAGGATTACCAAGGAATTTCCTGACCGTCCCAAGCAAAGAACTTGCCATTGTCATGCTTCTTGACATTGTTAATGATAGTTAGGAGCTTTTGCGCTGAGAACTCCTTGGTGAAGAGCTTGTCTTTGGAAACATTCCTTTGGAATGGCTTAGAAAGATCTGTGTCAACTGTCCCAGGGTGCAAAAGAATGCATGCAATTGGATCCTTCTTTCTTGCAAGTTCCACTGAAATAGTCTTTGTTACTGAAAAGCATCAAGAAAAAGAAAATGTCACGAAAGCTTTCCTTTCCATATACAACAATTTTAATCTAGGAAAGTCAGATAATTTTTAATGTACCAACAACATTCACAAGCAAACATGTTCATAGTCCGAGGCCAAAAAAAAAGACATGTTCATAGCCTAGCATCACATATTCGAAGGTTCCAAAAAAGTTTCTTTTTAAATGTGTTTTCATTAGAAAACGTGGAAAGCAAACACTTTTTGCCAATGATTTTTTCATTTGCTAAATATATATTAAATAATCAATTATTGATGGATCGCACTAATGGAGGACAAAACAGAATCAAGGACCTGCTTGGAATATACTGAAAAAAAAAAAAAAAACGAAGGTTATTTTGATAATGAAAAAAATTTACCCCAGGCACCCCACCGTAAACCGACCTTACACCCTTATAAGCATGCAAGGTTAAGGGTATGTTTAGCAACCACAACTCAATGATGATTAAGGAAAACAAGACACCAAATTTTTGTTTGTTTGTTTTTTTTTTTTTTTACTGGACACAGCTCTTTTATTGGAAACAATCATATTTGAAACACTATTGGATATTCAAACTTTGATTTGTAGCATTGTGAGGGACTAGCTCTTTCTACTAAAATTATTCCCCATTGGTAGATGTCAATGTTATTTTATATATATTATATGCATGTTAAAAATATGACATTATCAGTATCAATATATGCAAGCTACAAAGGGATAAAACTTATGAGTCATACAATGAAGTTGTGGGAAAAAGTGATGGAATATAGGTTGAGGCTGGAGACTTCTATTTCAGAAAACCAATTTGGATTTATGCCAGGGAGATCCACTTCGGAAGCAATCTATTTATTAAGAGGGTTAATGGAAAGATATAGAAGTAAAAGAAGGGATTTACATATGATCTTTATTGACCTGGAAAAGGCTTGCGATCGTGTGTCAAGAGAAGTAATGTGGAAGGCTTTGGATAAAAAGGTGTACGGGTTGCTTATATCAAAACCATACAAGATATGTATGAGGGCGTAACTACCAGTGTAAAGACGCCTGGAGTTGAAACAAAGGACTTTCCTATTCAGATTGGCCTACATTAGGGATCCTCTTTGAGTTCGTACTTGTTCAACATTATTCTGGATGTTCTAACTGAACCTATTCAAGAAAGAATCCCTAAGTCCATGCTTTTCGCGGATGATATAGTTCTCATGGTGGAATCAAAAGAAGAGATTAACACTAGATTGGAGTTATGGAGAAGGACGTTAGAGTCGAAAGGTTTCTGCTTGAGTAGGAACAAAACAGAATATATGTATTGTGATTTGGAGGGGAGGCAAGGCAATGGGGATTTGGAGGTGAAGATGGGAAAGCAAATCATTCCTCAAGTATCAAAGTTTAAATACCTAGGATGCATTATACAGGAAGATGGGGAAATTGATGGAGACATTTCTCATAGAATACAAACTGGCTGGTTAAAGTGGAGGAAAGCTACCGGAGTTATTTGCGATAAGAAGGTACCTGAGAAACTTAAAGGAAAATTTTATCGGACTGCTATAAGACCGACTATGTTGTATGGTAGCGAATGTTAGGTAATAAAGGGAAAACAAGAGCACAAAGTTAGGGTAGCAGAAATGAGGATGTTGAGATGGATGTGTGGTCATACAAGAAAAGATAGGATTCGAAATGAAAATATTAGAGCAAGAGTCGGTGTGGCACCTATCCAAGAGAAAATGGTTGAAAATCGCTTAAAATGGTTTGGACATGTGCAGAGAAGGCCATTGGAGGCCCCGGTGAGGAGGGTGGATCAGACAAGATGGAGTCCTATAAAAAAGAACAGAAGAAGACCAAGAAGAACGCTTAATGAGGTCATTGAACGAGACCTCCTAGTCAACAACATATCTAAGGACTGGGTTGTTGACAGAGCACGATGGCGTTGTGTGATTCATGTAGCCGACCCCACCTAGTGGGATAAGGCTTGTTGTTGTTATTGCTGTATCAGTATCAATATGTATACTCCTTTCCATTACTTTCTAAGGTAACTGGTACAAAAATCATTTCCATTCCCATTACCCCAACATTTCCTTTTCATCTTAACCAAACCTGCCTAAATTCTCAATGCGAGGCAAAAATGTACACGTTATGACCATGAGCGCCACAAATCAAAGTTGGGAAGAACATTTTGAAGAGTAATGCAACAGATACAGCACACAAATACGCAAAACATGATTATTATCACTGCACATCTGATTTGTTGCAGTCTATATATCATTAATTATGTTGAGTTTTACCGGGGCGTGTTCTCATACAACACTGACAAAAGTATGAGGTCCTTATTAAAATACAAGGCATTTATATTAATCAGATATTTCTATCCAGGAACAAAAAGGTTAAATGAAAAACCTATTCCCCGTTTTAGTCTAGCATGTCCAATATATCATATGGAAGCACCATCAAATGAACAGAAAGTGAGCTACTAGTCAACTATGAACTAAACATAAGGAAAACAATAAGATCATAGGCATTCATTGCAGTTATGCAATTCAATCTCCAAACAGAGTCATACATTGATTAAGAGCAGCCTTTGAAGACCGATAGGAGTGCCAACCCCCAAGGCGGTTGTCCCCAATAGATCCTACCCTTGCACTCAAACTAGCAACGACAGCAACACTTCTTTCAGTCCCAAAACCTCCTCCAACTTTTAGGAGAGGCCACATGTGCTGATTCGAAATTCACAAGGGAAAAAAAATTTAGAAGACATCTAATCATTGAATAAACAGGAAAGAAAATCAAAATACAAATATTGGATAGAGAAAGACTAACATTCTTAGAGTTCTTTCCCAAGAAAAACTATGTTTAATAATAGTTAAAATAAAATGATAAGGGGAAGCAGTTCAACTGATTTTTGCACAGCGCTAGGACTGACCCTCTCTGTAATAAGATTATGTTTTGCTAATAAAGGATACGACTTGATCCATGGCATAATAAGGTTGCACTTGGATACAGTGTTGATCATTAGCTATGGATCACACAGCCTGATCATTTTCCCACGGACATGAAATCATTCTTCTTCAACTAGCTTTTGTACAGCGTAAGGTAAGACCATATGTGTGATAAGATTTTGTTTTTTGAGCCAATGATTATGTTTATACAACTTTATCCCTGACAAGCAATGAGCTGGCACTTAGGTAGTGTTGATTTAAGGATAACATCACCCAATCATTTTCACATGATATACAAAACAGAATAAATTATATAAATCTAAAAGCAAGTTCTTCTTTAGTTACAGGACGAAGTGCCCATACGTTGTTAAGAAGTGCTTATTTGAAGCTGAATTCGGCTAAGACAAAACGAATCTAGCTAGAATGATTTCAGCAAATGGATTCACTGCCTAAAAGTATGAAGCAAAGCTATAAAATCACTGTATTGCTCAAGCAGGACAGAACCACCAAACGATGTCAAAATTCTTTGACTTTGACACTCCAATCATGACATCTTCCCACATTTGATATGGAATGGGCACTGTTCGCAAGAGGCCAGCTGGAGCAAGTGTCCTATATTTGTTGTGTTGGCATCAAAAATGTGAAATATAGACTTTTACATCCTTTCCATTCAGGACCAGAAAGGAATTTGTCAAAGAGCCGTTTACAGACTTGAGAAAGCCTTTGTCACTGCCCACAGGCACCTCACGTGCCTCAGCTTGCAGCTTATTGTGCAGCTCAAATAAGTGAGGAATGAGTAATGACTAAAGAACTCTTGTAGAATAATGTATGATCAGGTCGAGAAGTAGTATGTTCTCATGATCTCATTATCCTAAGGGTCTTGAGCTAGAGCATTACGTAATGCCATGAAACAAAGAGACAAGAGCTTGACCAAACTAAAGATATTAGCCTGTCGTTATTCAAGAAACAGGAAAAAATGGGGACCTGATCATTTAATTCAACTAGAACTGAATACTGTAAATGTAAAAATCATGGTACAGAAAAAATGAAGTGATATTTTGATTTGAGTCTTGCCATCATTCTTGCAAACCAATCAAAACTTACAAAACCTTTCATTCCTTCAAATGTCCGCTATCCAGGATGGCAACACTTGTCACTATGGCCATCCATAATTGACTATATAACATTAAAAAGTATGTTTTGTAATGTAAAAGTTAGGTATGACAGTTATAAGAAGCAGCTGTTAGACACCCAAGGCTATAAATAGGACAATTAATTGTATTCTTTCAGAGCATGGTGTGAATGAATCAGTGAGCATTACTCTGATTCTTGTCTCTCCCTTTACTCTCTCTCTCTGTGTCAAGATTACAAAACCACATTAGTGGTATCAAAGCTTTGCAATCCTGGGCCCCCAAGAATGTGTACTGTGGAGGGCTGTTACACAATCACAAACAAACTTGAGATCCATGGTTGAACCTACTGAAATTATTAGCAATCAGGATCTTATACTTGCAAGCAATTTATGGAAGGAGTTCTTAAGAATAATGGGCATTGATCAGAAGTTAACTTTTGCTCATCGTCCAAAAACAAATGGTCAATCAAAAGTGCTCAATAGGCGTTAAGAAATTTACTTGAGGTGCATGTGTTGTGAAAGCAAAAGGAATGGAGCAAATGGATTTCTCAAGCAATGTGGCGGACTGATGGTACAAGACTTCTTTCTACACAGCTATAAAAAGAACTCCTTATGACTTGCTGTATGATCTGAAGCCTCCTATTCGCACCACAAATCTACCCCATTATTCCGTCCTAGAAGTGATTGATCGAAGCTTCACAGCTATAGAAGAGATGATGGGACTTTTAAAACATCATTTACATAGAGCAGCAAATTTAATGAAGCAAAGAGCAGATTCTCACAGAACTGAACGTGAATTGCTGTCTTAAATTGCAGCCTTAGAGACAAATCTCAGCTGCTTCTAGAAGTTCACAAAATTTAGCACCTAGATGCTTAAGGCCTTACAAGTTATTAGAAAAGATAGGTGTTGTTGCCTAGAAGCCAGAACTTCCGTCAGATTCAAGCATTCACCCTACCTTTCATGTTTCACTCCTTAAACTATGTCCTAACTCCGCAGCTAAGCAAAGGCATTCCCCAAATGATTGGCCAGAATTACCTACAGTTTCTGAACCTTAGAAGATCTTAAATAAAAGGGTTGGAAGGAGGGAACTCATCATCACAGGGATCCTAGTACAATGGAAAGTCTTGCCAGATGAAAAAGCATCAGTTTCATCAAAAATTTCCAGATTTTTTAATAAAAGATCCTTGAGGACAAGGATCGCTTCTTTTTTTGGGCCGGGTTATTGTTGTATAATAATAATAAAATATAAAAGTTAGTTAGGACAGTTATAAGAAGTAGCCATTAGACACTCAAGGATATAAATAAGACACTGAATTGTATTTTCTCAGAGTATGATGTGAATGATTCAGTGAGCATTACTCAGTCATTCATTCTCTCAATTCCTATCAGTTCTTCCCTCAATTTTCCTCTCATTTCTCAATCCTTCAACTCCTCTACTCTTGTGTCTCCCTTTCCCCTCTCCCTCTCTTTCTGTGTGTCCATATTATGGAATCATATCAGTATGCTTCTGACAATCTGATGAGTGGCAAAATTAGGTGGCATCATTGATGTACATGGACAAAAACAGCACTAGTTAACCATGTCCAAAAAAAAAAAAAAAATGAATAAATGAGTCATTCAAATTACATGCAAATATGTCTGACTTTCAGAATCATGAAAAACCTCATTGGCTTTTTCTGAAGATGTTCTCAAGGAGCCACTGAAATATGCTGAAGAAGGGAATGATTCAAAAAAGCTTGCTTTTACATTCATTGAGAGGCTACATAAGTACAAGATGGAGGAGCCAAATAGACATTAATTCCCTAATTAGTAGGATAACGATATTTACAATCATACGAACTCTATGATACCCTCCAACATATAACACAATTATAACAACAAGCAAGCACCACAAAATGTTAATAACATGTCTTTCTATTATGGCAAGATCCGGTAACATGTCTTTCTATTATGGCAAGATCCGGTAATCTCAAAAAGTTTGAAAACTTAGAAAATTTGTTGATTGTGATATATATTTTGAAATCTAAGAATTATGACTGTTCCTTGTCATTCTCATCTCCCAACCCCTCTCTCCCTACCAAAATAAATAAATAAATAAAGAAACAAGAGCTTACTGCTTTTAGTTTCTCATACACAACAACTATACAGATTACAGAGGAGTCATCATTACATCAAAATTTATTATAATGTTGATTGATATGAAAAGTCCTGCAATAAAGATTGGATACATATTACCTTAATTACTAAGATAGGACCTACGGCATTAACCTCGTAAGCAAGCATCAAAGATGACTTCTCCACCTTGCTCAATGTTGTCTCTGTAAAGGAAAGAGACATTTAATCTGATGAATTCCTCACCTGAGGAAGAAAAATTCAAAGCCAGATATGGTGGCTCGAGTTCTCTCATTTACATCTTACTTTTGTCAAATGGATAACTGATGGGCGAAGGCTAACTCACATTGTGCGGGTGTCTGTGTGTGTGTGAGAGAGAGAGAGAGAGATAACTGTTGTTAGTGAGCTTTGTGTGTGAGAATGTCTATTCCTTTCATTTCTAGTAGCTTATTCCACCTGAAGAGAAGATAATTTCAATTATCAATATACTTTGACGCTTGGGTTCCGTCATTTTTGGTCCAGCTCAAAAACCTGGCTTCCAACGATAACTATATTCATCTTACTTAGTTTTCTCATATGCCAGCTCAGTATACTCATCTTTCTCCTTCCTGGCTTTAATGGTCAGCATCTGAATTATATGTAACACATCTGTGACAGATAAAAAAATTTTTTTTTTTTTTTTAAATCTTAGCTCTATGTTACCATATGTAAAGGAGAAAGGCTATTACCAAAGCCTTATCTTTACCTGGGTGCAATACTTCTGGTATAGAAAGAATGCCAGATGCGTTGATGAGAAGGTTTAGATGGCCATGTGTCTCCTTTATTTCCCTCGCTGTTGCCTTTGAAAATGATGGATCATACAATAAAAATCCATTATATATAGGAATATTCACGTCTAACAGCAGCACAAATCATCCAAATTCCCATAAAAGTGTTATACATTTAGTGATTTTCTTCCCAAATTTAGACAAGCTTATTGATCGAATATACCTTTTATAAATATTCCATGTATAGATATACAAATGAAACAGGGAAAATGAAATAACTTGAAAAACATGTAAACAGGGAAAATGAAACATTATAAATTAACTAGATCATTAAAAGTTTATTCAATAACATAAAATAAAAATGAAAAGTGCGTCGTAACAGAAAAGAGCAATTTGGAAAAAGATGGAATGCACGTACCTTAATTTCAAATCCTAGCCAAATGTGAGTTATATTCTTCTACTGATACAAGCTAATAATTGATAGGATAGGGGGAGGGGAAGAACAAATGACAGAGATATATGGAGAGGGAGAGGGAGAGGGAGAGGGTGAAAGAGAGCAAAATGAAGGGAGAATCATGACCTCAATTGTGCTCTCAACAGTCACATCCAACGGTAAAGTTCTTAAACGTTCAGCAAATTTATCCTTCAGATTGACAAGCCCAATTGATCCATTAGGATTACGGCAAGTGGCAATGACATGCCCTTTATCGTCATTCTCTAGCAGCTGTTTTACCTGTGTCAGGCAGGAACTGAAAGCATGGTTAAGATAAAATTGCTGCAGACAAAAAACTGTTTCAATCTAATCATTTGATTCCATTAAGAATCTTACATAATAAAAAGATACTGCAGAGTAAAGATTACAAAATTAAAAGGGGCGTAATTTCAGAACTGAGGCAGTTTTGCACAGTTGCTAATGACAAAAGACTTTTATATTTCCTGAGACTAGATAGTGATTACGATCATAGAGTAAATGAAGATAATTGGGGAAACTATTCTGAAAATATATATTATTATATAAAATTTCAATCTTTATTGTCCATAATAAGCATTGGCAGGTTCCTACCTTCTATAATTTGCTTCATCTTTCCGAAAACCTACATGTCATACTTTGATTCATCTTCAAAACTATACTACCTGCCGAAATAAGAGGACGAAAATAAACAAACAGAAAACCAAAAAAAAAAACTTGATAGCATAAACTAATAACCTCAAAACTTCTGTTCAAAAGTAAACGACGGAAGGATAGAGTACAGCAACCAAAAAAAAAAAAAAAACACTTTTCTAAACAGTTTCTTGATCCTGAACTGTTACATTGCAAGAATAGTAATACAATCATAGTAATTACTATTTCAAATGTTAAGGTGAACAGTATAAAACAGGAAAAATCAGGGATTTATGAGTTTTAGGATATCCAAACCACCCAACCTGCGATATTTGCATCCTCCATCATGTCACAAGTTATGCTCGCTCCTAGAACTAAATGTAGCCTTATTTTCATTTCTACACTTGTAGACTATAATTTAATCGTATGTAACTGTTGCAATTTTCAAGGGAAGTGGTGCTCAATGGTACAAGCCTAATCATGGAGAAGTTCAAGAGAAAGGCCTCGGTCCTGCAACGCAACCAAATAAAACAAAACGAAGGCGACAAATTAAAAACGACAAGAAGAAAAATCTCACAAATTCAAGGCCTATTCCTCTGGAAGCTCCTTGAACCATGGACACCCCACCTTCAGATTTCAAAGCAGCAGAAAAAGCCCTTCGGGATACCGACAAAAGCCGTGAAGGCGTTGCCATGGGAGCGTGTAATCTCAGCATCAAATTATCTCCCTCCAATTAAATTTCACTGACATACGACACAAATGGAGCCAATAGACAAAGATGACGACGAAATCTCCCCAGAACAGGAAAAATGTAAACTGTAATGTGGTAATGTAGCTCAACGAGATAACTTACCTTCGAACGTGGTTCAAAGGCATTTTGCCATATTTATTTGCATTTACTCACTGATGAAAGTTGGGTGAGATTACTCTCAAGATCAAGGCGAACTCGGAAAGACTAAGATTACAGCTATACCAACAGTTTTCGATTCCAATTACAAAAAAGCTGACAGCTGCTTCGGCTCAAATGCAATCTAGTTGACGTGGCACAATACAGGGCCGCATGAATCTGCACCATTTATTGGGAAAATTTCACACAAGTCACAATTAATTCAGAAAAAGTTCCTAAAAATCTTCAAATGCTTCCTCAGTCCCTAGGGACCTTAGGATAATTAATTTTAATTGTGATATTACCTACTTATCTCCATTAATTTGATTGTGAATAATTTGCCTGTCTTAAACCCTCAGGACCACCTTCTGTTATAGCACGGGCAGCTTCACATCCATCAGCGGTGAGCTTTACTCACACTGTTGGCGAGCTTCGTACCCCATCACCGATGACCTTCACACCCCCATCATTGATGACCTTCGCACCCCACTGCCAATGAGCCTCGTGGGTTCCATCATCGACGAGCTTCGCACCCCACTGTCAGTGAGCCTCTCTCTCTTGATATATCATATTGATATTATCTATTACTGGCATATTTAGGCGGGGCACTTACCAGTTTCAGACTAGCAATTGTTGTTAGCTCAAATGGTATCTTGTTACAATGGAGGCCTAAGGATCATGACCCATGGAAATGGAGACGAATGAAATGCGATCCTAAATCCAAAAGAGTTATCACTCTGTGAGTTTCCATGATAACTTTTCTTGCTAAGTTCATGTTATATTAGTAAATGATTCTCAGATTTAAGGTGCGTTGTGACAGACAAATTTTTCTTAATCTTATATCTAACTTTACTTTCATTGGTGATATTCTAGGAGTTTAGCTTGCCATCAGTTGAGTGGATCTATACCCCCTGCCTTGGGAGGCTAAAGCATTTGATTGCTCTGTATGTACTTTTGATTATGTATAATTTTTTCGAGACATTTGATTCTATTGCTTTATCACTTGCCTATTGGATCTGATTTAATCATAATCTGTGTATGTTGTAGTGCCTTCACAACAACAATTTCTATGGGATAATTCCATCTGAATTGGGAAATTGCACCGACTTGCAGAGAAATCAAGTTGCTAATAGGTTTTTGTATTGGTTTTGACTGATTCCTCTCGAGAATAATTTGAATCTTTCTTGTACAGATTCTTGCAGGGCAATTACCTACATGGAGTGATTCCAAATGAATTAGGAAACCTATTACAGATCAGAAGTTTGTCAGTGCAATATTTAGTATAGTTTCTAGTTTATTTCATCCAATTTATGTTGTTATAAGGAGGGACAAATCGCATTCATTCATCATATTTCTGTATTTTCTAGGGATATGTCAAGTAACTCCCTCAGTGGGAATATAGCTCCATCACTTGGGAAACTGTATAATCTCAAAAATTTGTAAGTAACCTTGGTTTTCTTTGTTTTTTTGTCTTTCCCTTTGCTCTTTTTTATTTATATCTTTTGTAGATTTTACTATCAAAGGAAAATTGAATGTTCTTGTTGTTGTGGTAATGGTTGATGCTTTGAACCTTCAAGTAATATTTCAACCAATTTTTTGGTCGGACTAATGCCTTCTGATAGTGGCAACATTATTTAATGCACATGTTAGTCATTTAAAAATAACCAAACTCATTATATTTAATACTTTTATCAAGAGACTGAGGATGCCAAAGTTAGTAACTTGTAACAAGATTGCTATTTTTAAGGATTGATTTACATATTTTCTAATTTCAAGGACTAAAGTTGATTAAACATACTAGTATGGGACCATGTTATTAATGTACTCTAATGTAAGCTATGGATTGATTTACTGTATCATTCCAAAAACAAATAACCCCTCTTTTAAAGTAACAAGCAGTTGGAAAGTTATAATGTGATGACAGTAATTTTTTTCCTTTTTGTAGTTTAACCAAATGGCTAAAAAGAGTAAGAGCAAAGATGGACAAAGGCCTAGGAACTTCTCTGGATATATACTATTTACTGAAGAATTTTATGAGAAGAACAAGAAAAAGTTCAAGTCTTTTGAAGAGGGCACTAAGTCTGTGAAAAAGGCTTAAGAGAAGTTAACAGAACAGGAGAGAGAACAATATAGTGAAAAGGCTAAAGAAATGAGAATCCCACCAAAAGGGGAGAATTATATTGTTCCCTTCCACACACGATGTACTCTGGGACAATTTATGTAAGTCTGTAAGCACTTAAAGAAAAGGACAGATAAGATAAAAAGGCTGAAAAGAATTAGTTTTGATAAATTGGTTGAAATATGCTGCTCACAAATTTATAGAGATTTTTGTGGTGAATTGATCCGTGTGTTTGACCCTATAACTAAGAAAATATCAATTCGGGGGAAGACACATGAAATGGGGCCTGAAGATGTAAATCAATTGATAGGCCTCCCATTTAAGGGGCAAGAAATTAAAATGAATGTGGAGAATGAAGATGAAACATTTAAGGAATTAAAGAGTAACTACGAGAAAGTGCCATACAAAACAATAGAAAGATGGTTGATTGAAGGAAAAGAGGATGAAAAGTTTGAATTCCTTTTTTTATGTATGTATTAGGAGTCCTCTTGTGTCCTAACTCTAGTGTATGGGTGAGTGATGAAGTGTTGTAAGGTCATAATGGCTACAAATGATAGTTTAGGATACTATGATTGGAACAGCTTAGTTTCAGAGAATTCTGCAACTCAGTTGCAGAGTTCAAGAAAGGAAAGAAGAAAGCAAAAGCTAATGGGACGAAAAATGTGGGAGGTTGCTTGTACTTCTTAATGGTAAGTTTATGTATGATTCATTTACTTTGATGTTAGTTGTATTGTTAATGTGCTATGTATGTTATAATTGGTTGCTCTATATGTTGCCATTTACTACTCTGTATGTTGTTATTTACTACTCTATGTTGTCATTCGCTAGTATGTACATTATCAACTGCTTATGTGTATGTTGTGATTGGATGGTGTGAAGGTTGTTATTATCCCGTGTGCAGGTTGTCATTCACCTCCGTTGGTCTATCACTTGCTTATGTATAGGTTGCAATTGCTTGCTATTCTTGTTGTCATTTGGTTTAGCATAGATTGTTATTGGTTGTTGTGCATATGCATGTTGTGAATGGCATAAATGTAAGTGGTGATTGGCTGATGTGTAGATTGTGACTATATATTGTGCATGTTGTCATTCGGTTTAGCATGGTTATCATTGGCTTTTGCTCAGGTCATTAGCCTCTGTTGGTTTGTCACTTGCTTATGTAATTGCCTGCTGTTCATGTTGTCATTTGGTTTAACGTGAGTTGTCATTGGCTACTGTGCATATTATAAATGGCACAATTGTAGGTTGTGATTAGCTGATGTCGCTACTAGAAAAAAGACTTTTAATGTCGCCAAACAACGGCGGTTAATTAGAAAAATGACATGAAAAAAAAGGCGGTAGTATTTTTGTAAATAAGTTGCTTAATTGTTGATTTTCCACAACAGTTATTAAATAACTGCTATTAAAAATACTTTCCACAGCGGTTTTCTTAATAACCGCTTGGAAAGTTTTAAAATAACCTTATGGCGAGTTCGTTTTCTCTCATTTTCATAGTTTCGTTTCAGTGCGTTGTGGTTCCCCTCTATCCCACCACCAAAAAACTTCCATTACTGGCCATTCTCCCACTCCCCCACCGTTTAAAGTCCTCCATTTAGCTTGTGGTGTCTTGCCGCCGTTTGAATGCCCATCTTTTCGCATTTGAATCATCTATACTCTGAGTATCCTCTTTTTTCATTCTTTTCAATTTTTCTTGGTTTTTTGAATGTTTTGACCATAAAAATATGTTGTATTTCAAATGGGTTTAGTTTTATATTGTGGTTGGCTTGTATTGTTGATTTTATATTTTTTATGTGCTTGAATCGTTGATTGGTGGGCATTTGGTGTGAGAAAACCTCAATTCCTTTCTATATACTGTATTAGAAACATGTTTAAATGTTTGAAGTTGATTAGTTTTGAAGTTTTTGAGTTTTTTAATAATTTTTTGATATTTATTTCGAATTTTTGGTATTTTTTTGTAATAAATTTGAGAATTTAGTAATAAATAATCTGTTTGGTATCTTGTGAATTTTTTTTTCGTTATGAATTTTGATTCATGGTAAAGTGTTGCTTAAAATTTCATTGCAAATGGATATCATTTATGTTCCTGTTTTGGATTCAAAAGTTTTAGTTTTAAGAATCTTTATCCATTGAATTGGTTTGAAATTGAATTTTTATTTTTGTTTTATTTGTTATCTTTCTTCAAATTTATCATGTTGAAATATGTTATGAAGAATAGTTTTTTGGTTGATTAAAATAATTTTTTTTAACTATTTCGCAAAACTTATATTTGTTTGTTTGATTTTTTATTTGATTAACATTTCGTTCATTCACTAGATATATTAATTTTTAAGAAATTACTTAATCTAATTTTTAAAAATAATTATATTTTTATTTTTTATTATAATATATTTAATAAGATAAATAGGGTTAAGAAAATTTTAATTTTGATTAAAAATTTTGAGTGTTTGTATATAGTTGCTAAGGGGAAATTTTGTCGAATTTTTTATTTTTAAAAAGAGACATTCCCTTTAATTTGTAATTAAGTGTTAGTCAATTTTAATTTATTGACTAACATTTAATGATTTTATTATTTCAATATTTGAACTACGGAATTAGAATTGAACTTGACAACTATGTTCATTGACTCTGTAGAATAATGGATCATAGTTGGATGAAGGCTAAGAGAATTAACAAAGAATATGAGGATGGGGTTGAAAGGTTTCCTGAGTTTGCTCAGAAAAATACCCCTAGTAAAAGAGATGGATTATACTATTGTCCTTGTGTCAAATGCTTAAACAATAGTGGACGGAGTATTTCTGAGATAAAAGAGCATCTTATCTATAATGGGATAAATTTGAGGTATACAAATTGGATATGGCATGGAGAAATTAGAAAGACTACACTGTCTGCAAAGGAGAAGGTTGCGAATGAAGATTTTGGTGATAGAATTTTAGATATGTTTCGTGAT